TGTGGGATCCTCCTGGACCGGGGCACGAACCCGTGTCCCCTGCATCAGCAGGCGGACTCCCAACCACTGCACCACCAGGGAAGCCCCCCAAATAACTGATTTTTTAAATGATTTATCCCTTCCCTAATCTCCTTCTGACATTCTTTCCCTTCCTTCTCTTTCACTGCATCAGACCCAGTGGTGGAGGAATTCTTTTTTTTTTTAACATCTTTACTGGAGTATAATTGCTTTACAATGGTGTGTTAGTTTCTGCTTTATAACAAAGTGAATCAGTTATACGTATACATATGTTCCCATATCTCTTCCCTCTTGCGTCTCCCTCCCTCCCACCCTCCCTATCCCACCCCTCTAGGTGGTCACAAAGCACCGAGCTGATCTCCCTGTGCTATGCAGCTGCTTCCCACTAGCTATCTATTTTATGTTTGGTAGTGTATATATGTCCATGCCACTCTCTCACTTTGTCCCAGCTTACCCTTGCCCCTCTGCATATCCTCAAGTCCATTCTCTAGTAGGTCTGTGTCTTTATTCCTGTCTTACCCCTAGGTTCTTCATGACATTTTTTTTCTTAGATTCCATATATATGTGTTAGCATACGGTATTTGTCTTTCTCTTTCTGACTTAGTTCACTCTTTATGACAGTCTCTACATCCATCCACCTCACTACAAATAACTCAATTTCATTTCTTTTTATGGAAGAGTAATATTCCATTGTATATATGTGCCACATCTTCTTTATGCATTCATCCAATGATGGACACTTAGGTTGCTTCCATCTCCTGGCTATTGTAAATAGAGCTGCAGTGAACATTGTGGCACATGAGTCTTTTTGGATTATGGTTTTCTCAGGGTATATGCCCAGTAGTGGGATTGCTGGGTCGTATGCTAGTTCTATTTGTAGTTTTTTAAGGAACCTCCATACTATTCTCCATAGTGCTGTACCAATTCACATCCCCACCAGCAGTGCAAGAGTGTTCCCTTTTCTCCACACCCTCTCCAGCATTTACTGTTTCTAGATTTTTTGATGATGGCCATTCTGACCGGTGTGAGATGATATCTCATTGTAATTTTTTAATTTATTTATTTATTTTGCGGTACGCGGGCCTCTCACTGTTGTGGCCTCTCCCGTGGCAGAGCACAGGCTCTGGATGTGCAGGCTCAGCAGCCACGGCTCACGGACCCAGTCGCTCTGCGGCATGTGGGATCTTCCCGGACCGGGGCACGAACCCGTGTCCCCTGAATCGGCAGGCGGACTCTCAACCACTGCGCCACCAGGGAAGCCCTCTCATTGTAGTTTTGATTTGCATTTCTCTAATGATTAATGATGTTGAGCATTCTTTCAGGTGTTTGTTGACGGTCTGTATATCTTCTTTGGAGAAATGTCTATATAGGTCTTCTGCCCATTTTTGGATTGGGTTGTTTGTTTTTTTGTTATTGAGCTGCATGAGCTGCTTGTAAATTTTGGAGATTAATCCTTTGTCAGTTGCTTCATTTTCAAATATTTTCTCCCATTCTGAGGGTTGTCTTTTGGTCTTGTTTATGATTTCCTTTGCTGTGCAAAAGCTTTTAAGTTTCATTAGGTCCCATTTGTTTATCTTTGTTTTTATTTCCATTTCTATACTACAAAGATACAGTAATCAAGACAGTATGGTACTGGCACAAAAACAGAAATATAGATCAATGGAACAGGATAGAAAGCCCAGAGATAAACCCACGCACATATGGTCACCTTATCTTTGATAAAGGAGGCAGGAATGTACAGTGGAGAAAGGACAGCCTCTTCAATAAGTGGTGCTGGGAAAACTGGACAGGTACATGTAAAAGTATGAGATTAGATCATTCCCCTAATACCATCACAAAAATAAGCTCAAAATGGATTAAAGCCCTAAATGTAAGGCCAGAAACTATCAAACTATTAGAGGAAAACGTAGGCAGAACAGTCTATGACATAAATCACAGCGAGATCCTTTTTGACCCACCTCCTAGAGAAGTGGCGGAGGAATTCTGACTGATGCAGTCTAGCTTCAGATCCAGTGTGCTTACCACTTATTGGTGGTACATGGACCTCAGATTCCTCCATATGTAAAATGGGAATAATTATAGCACCCTTCTCATGGGATGGTTGCAAGGATTCAGTGAGATTCTGTTAAACACTAGAACAGTGCCTGGTACATTATTAATAGTGTGTGCTGTTAAGCAAAGCATTTAACTTTTCTGGACTTCAGTTTTCTCATCTGTAAAATGACAAGGCTGAACAAGATGATCTCTAAGGTTTCTCTTAGCTTAAACAATTATAATACTGTGATTTAGTGCTCGTGTAAGTAATTTATCCCTATCAGTCTAGGTATACTTTTCCCTTCTTAACTGTACTTGTTTCCCTGGTACATGATGATCTGCTTTCTCAGAAATCCTCTGAAGAAAGAAGTGTGGTTAAACTTGGCTTGACTGAAACGTCTCATTGCAGCATTTGTAGCTGGAGCATAATGGATAGTGTAGTTTATTGGAGGTGTTATGAAGAGAGGAAAGGAAATGGAATCCAGGTCCATTTACACTTACTGGTAGGAAGCAAATATGAAATGATAGCAGTGATGATAACAGTTAATATTTACTGAACATTTTCTATGTGGAAGGCAATATACTGGCATATATTATTTCATTTAATCTTTACCGTAATCTCATTAGGTAGATGTTCTTGTATCCCCATTTTTCAGATGAGGAAACAGAGGCACAGAGAAATTAAGGAACTTGCTTAAGTTCACACAGCTAGTACATAATGGAGTTGGGATTTGAACATATAATCTGATTCTAGCACCCATGCTCTTATCCATTGTGCTATATTGAATTGATTCCAGGTGGAGAATCAATTGAGTTTTAGTAACTAGAACACTTCACATGAATATATATAATTTTTACCAACTTTTTATTTTTAAAAATGATAAAGTTATAAAAAAGTTGAAAGATTTATATAACAAACATATATATAGATTCAACAATTTTGCTTCGTTTAATCTCTTTCGTGCACACTCTCTCTCTCTACACACACACACACACACACACACACACACACACACACACACACACACGATCTCTGTTTTTTAAAAAGTAAATGACAGGGACTTCCCTGGTGGCGCAGTGGTTAAGAATCTGCCTGCCAATGCAGGGGACACGGGTTTGATCTCTGGTCTGGGAAGATCCCACATGCCGCAGAGCAACTAAGCCCATGTGCCACAACTACTGAGCCTGCATGCCTAGAGCCCATGCTCTGCAACAAGGGAAGCCACCGCAGTGAGAAGCCCGTGCACCACAACAAAGAGTAGCCCCCGCTCGCCTCAACTAGAGAAAAGCCCGCGCACAGCAACAAGGACCCAACGCAGCCAAAAATAAATAACTAAATATATTTAAAAAAAAAAAAAAAAAAAGTAAATGACAGACATCATGACACTCCTAAGAACCATCTCCTAAATAGCAATAATACCATTATCACGTTTAAGAAGTATAACATTGAGTACAGACTGTTTTAATAACCTTTAGTCTGTTTAGAGTAAGTCCAATGTCCTGTTAGAAGTTGAAATCACATTGTTAAAAAAAATTTATCAAAATCTGACTTTTTTTTTTCTTCTCAGAAATCATATTCCATGCCCATTGGCATTGAATTTCAGCGGAGATATGCAACGATTGTTCTAGAGCTTGAACAACTGAACAAGGACCTAAACAAAGTTTTGCATAAAGTTCAACAGTACTGCTATGAGGTAGGTAATTTGTATGAATTTCCCTTGTGGGGATTGTGACCTCCACTCTTATCTGAAGCTTAATACTGTTACCATCACATTTCAGAAAATCCAAATTAAGCCAATATCCTTTAGCAGAACCATATTTTATATATATTTCTATTCCTTACAGAATCAGTATTGAAGAGTGCTTTATACACAGTGAGCTATCAATTCTGTTGGTTTTCTGTTTGTTTGAATTACAAATGATTATATTATAGCTCTCCTGAAATTTAGAAACATCCAGAAAAATAATTTCTTTTAATTCCACTACCCCAAAGACTATATTTTGGTTTACTTCCTCCTAATTTTTTTTTTTTTTTTACCATACATGCTTTTTCTCACAAAGTTATGATCATGCTGTGTATATAATTTTGTTTGTTCCTTTTTAAACTTTATATTTGGGAATTCCCTGGTTCAGACTCCGTGCTTTCACTGCCGAGGTCCCAGGTTCAATCCCTGGTCAGGGAACTAAGATCCTGCAAGCCATGCGGCGTGGCCAAAACAATTTAAAAAATAAATAAAAATTTTAAAAATAAACTTTACATTAGAACTATAGATTCTTGAACTTCAGTCACATAGATTATAGGGTTATTTGTGAATTATCATTATTGTTATTATCATGCACATATAATTATATATATGAAGGTGGTTCAACAGGTTCACCTAAATATGAGTTTCTTACTAAAAGGTAAGAATTAGGTGATTGTGATGAGTTTAGTGTGCTCCTGCATTTACTTTCTTAGAGGCTGTATATTTCCAGTAAAGCCACTCTTATTTTTTTTTCAAGTATAGTTGATTTACAATGTTTCAGGTGTACAGCAAAGTAATTCAGATACATATATATGTATCTGAAATTTATATATGTATTATATATGTAATTATATATATTCTTTTTCAGATTCTTTTCCATTATAGGTTATTACAAGATATTGACTATAGCTCCCTGTGCTATACAGTAGGTCCTTACTGTTTATCTGTTTTATATATGGTAGTATATAACTATTAATCCCAAATTCCTAATTTATCCTTCCCCCACCCCTTGGGAAACCCTTTGGTAACCCTTTACATGTCCCCTTTTCTGTGTCTGTGAGTCTATTTCTGTTTTGTAAATAAGTTTATTTATATCATTTTTAAATCTTTTTTTGGTGTCATTTTTTTAGATTCCATGTTTAAGTGATATCATGATCTTTGTCTTTATCTGACTTACTTCACTTATGATTATCTCTAGGTCCATCCATGTTGCTGCAAATGGCATTATTGCATTCTTTTTTATGGCTGAGTTATATTCCATTGTATGTATGTACCACATCTTCTTGTTTTGTTCTGTTTTGTTTTTTTCTTATATTATACCACATCTTCCTTATCCATTCATCTGCTGATGGACATTTAGGTTGTTTCCATGTCTTGGCTGTTGTAGATAGTGCTGCTGTGAACAGTGGGGTGCGTGTATCTTTTTGAATTAGAGTTTTCATCTTTTCTGGATATATGCCCAGGAGTGGGATTGCTGGATCATAATGTTAACTCTATTTTTAGTTTTTTAAGGAACTTCCATACCATTCTCCATACTGGCTGTACCAATTTATATTCCTGACAGTGTCTGAGGGTACCCCTTTCTCCACACCCTCTCCAGCACTTATTATTTATAGAATTTTTGATGATGGACATTCTGACCAGTGTGAGGTGATACCTCATTGTAGTTTTGATTTTCATTTCTCTAATAATTAGAGATGTTTCATGTTCCTGTTGGCCATCTGAATGTCATCTTTGGGGAAATGTCTCTTTAGATCTTCTGCCCATGTTTTTATTGGGTTGTTTGCTTTTTGATATTGAGCTGTATAAGCTGTTTGTATATTTCAGAAATTAATCCCTTGTTTGTTGCATCGTTTGCAAATATTTTCTCCCATTCAGTAGATTGTCTTTTTGTTTTATTTAGTTTCTTTTGCTGTGCAAAAGCTCTTAAGTTTAATTAGGTCCCATTTGTTTATTTTGCTTTTGTTTCCATTACTCTAGGAGGATCCAAAAAAATATTGCTGCAATTTATGTCAAAGAGTGTTCTGCCTATGTTTTCCTCTAGGAGTTTTATAGTATCTGGTCTTACATTTAGGTCTTTAATCCAGTTTGAGTTTATTTTTGTATATGGTGTTAGAGAATGTTCTAATTTCGTTATTTTACATGTAGCTGTCCATTTTTCCCTGCACCATTTATTGAAGAGACTGCCTTTTCTCGATTGTATATTCTTGCCTCTTTGTTGTAAATTAATTGGCCATAAGTGCGTGGGTTTATTTAAAGCCATCTCTATTTGTGATATGAGATTCTTAAACAGTTTTTTATGACACTAGCCTCATAGATAAGTCCCAAAGATCTGCCATTGGTGATGTTATAATCCACTTGAATAGAACTGAGGGAAATGAACTGTGATTACTTGTAACTAAACTCTGAGTATATTTTGCTCATTCCTTTAGCCATCCATTATCATTTATTTTTATTTTCCAGGTAATTGTCATTTACCTACATAGCAATATGTGTGTCCTAGCAAATAGAGTTCTCCCCATGGACTAGCAACCATCCACAAGAGGTGCAAACCAAGCAGTCCAAGATAACATATAACAAAACATGCAGAAGTGGATTGCTCACCAGTCTTTTTCTATCTCATTATGTACGCAAGGCCATATGTGATAGGCTCATTTCCTAATGGAGTAAAATGATTTAATTTTCACAAAGTTCTTATGGAAGTACAATATTGATTTTAAAATAAGAACAAGCAAGTCTACTTCTAAATATATACCAAGTATATGTGAACATGTATTTACCAAAAGATATACACTAAAACATACATAGCATCACTGTTCATTATAGCCAGAAATTAGAAATTACCCAAATACCCATCAATACTAGAATGAATCAGTAAACTGACATATAATATACAATGGAATTCTCAGCAATAAGAATGAATGAACTCTGGGACTTCCCTGGAGGTCCAGTGGTTAAGACTTGGCCTTCCAGTGCAGGGGGTGCAGGTGCGATCCCTGGTCAGGGAGCTAAGATCCCACGTGCCTTGCAGCCAAAAAACCAAAACATAAAACAAAAGCAATACTGTAACAGATTCAATAAAGACTTCTTTAAAAAAAACAGTCCACATCAAAAAAAAATCTTAGAAAAAAAAAATGAATGAACTCAACTACTCACAACACTATGGATGAACTCACAAATATGTGAACATATTTGTTCATATGTAAATATTGAACAGATAAAGTCAGACACAAAAGAATATATAATGCATGATTCCATTTATGTAAAGGTCAAAAGCCAACATACGATACTAGAAGTCAGGATGGTGGTTACCCTTGGAGTATTATACTGGAAGATGACAATTGGTCTCTTAGGGCCTGGTGATGTTCCATTTTAATCTCGATGCTGATTTCTCATGTTTGATCTGTGAAAATTCATTAACCCATACACTTTAGGATTTTTATCCTTTTATATGTTTATGTATACTTCAATTTAAAGAAAACTTTTAAGTGTTAGAAGACAAGGTTCCTCACTGCAGTGTTACTGATAATCGCAAAATATTAGAAAAAACCTAAATGCCCATACATAGGGAGTTGGCTAAACTTACGGTACATCCCATGGTGGAGCAGTGTGCTGCTCTAAGAATGATCAAGGAAGCTCTCTGGGATGATTAGGAGGCACATAGCTACCTTAACCGAGGTGACCAAAGATAACAGCAGCAGTAGTGGGACAGATAAACATCATGCGCCTCCTGATCACCATGCACTGACAAGAACTCAACATCACTTTTGTGGTGTTCCTGCCAAAGGTGTATAACCTTAGTCTAATCAAAAGGAAACAGACAGACCCACATTGAGGGATATTATGCAAAATAATTGGCTGGTGCTGTTCAAAAATATCAAGGTCATGAAAGACCGAGGAACTGTTCCAGAGTAAAGAAGTCTAGAGAGACAGGACAACCAAATGTTTTCAGGGGGAAAACTAGCTATGTGTTGGGACAGTTGATGAAATCTGAATATAGACTGTTAGAAAATCACATTATAAATAGTGCTAGATTCCTGATTGTGATCACTGCACTATGGTTATGTAAGAGAATATCCTTGGACTTAGGAAATACAAACTGGAGTATTTAGGGGTAAAGAGGCACAGTGTTTGCAACTTACTCTCAAATAGTTAAGAGAAAAAAAATTATATACAGACAGAGAAAGATCAAATGTTAAGTCAAACAGTAAACCATAAGCAGTTAGTGAATCTGGGTAAAAGGTTATCAAGAGCTTTTTGTTCTATTCTGTTTTAGAAGTTTTAAAGTATCTCAAAATTAAAAGTTACCAAAAATATAAAACAAATCAGAAAAAAAATACAGTTAGAGGAGAAAAAACTTCTAAGGTAAGAGTGAGCATCATTTTTGTTATAAATGCTAGATTTATAAAAATGCTAACCTGAAAACAGGGCACAAACACACAGAAATTATCATGGCCTTATGAATGTATGTCTTATGTTTTAATCATCTGTATTCAGCTTGCTCCAGACCAAGGGCTCCAGCCTGCAGATCAGCCGACGGATATGAGACGAAGGTGTGAGGAAGAAGCACAGGAAATTGTTCGGCATGCAAATTCCTCAACAGGACAGCCCTGCGTAGAAAATGAAAATCTGACGGGCTTAATCTCCAGGCTTACAGCTATTTTATTACAGATTAAGGTAAATTTCGGAGAACTTTTTGGAGAAAATATTAAGAATATTTTCTTAATTTTGACACCTAAGCAAACTATGCTAATTTGTTGCTAAAAAATTAAACTATATATTAGAGCAGGGTGTTTGTCTGTATCTGAACTATAATTCAATTAAATTTTGAAATATTTTTTTCCTTTAGTGTCTGGCAGAAGGAGGAGACCTGAATTCCTTTGAATTTAAATCACTTACAGATTCATTAAATGATATCAAGAGTACAATAGATGCTTCTAATATCAGGTAATTCATTAGATGTATTCTAATTATTTTTATATTAAATTCATAGTGATTTCCAGTATAAGCTTTAAGACTTACATATTTATGAAGTATTCATATGATTTTTATCCTTGAAATAAATTGTAAACGAGCTTTTCGGTTATATCCAGTCTATTGACAGAGTAGAATTTTCAGATGGATTTTTTTATACAAAGGAATCAGAAGACATAATATTTAGGTTTGGGTTTAGCATGGATTTCAACTTAGAAGTCTTCCCCAAAGAGAGATTCGTCCTCTCTTTCCAGTACTCCCGTGGCTTCTTTGCTTCTTTCAAATATACTTTTTCAATTATTACTGAAGTAGAATTATGGCTGATGTAAAGGGAAGATTTCTTACTTACCTGGGGTCATTATCTTAGCTATTTCCTAACTTCATTTCAGCTCTGCCTTTTTTAAAAATTGTTCTTCCTCATTTTGTGAGTTATGTAGTTAACCATGTTTCTTCTTTCTTTAGTTGCTTTCAGAATAATGTAGAAATTCATGTTGCACATATTCAGAGTGGCCTGAGCCAGATGGGAAACTTACATGCCTTTGCAGCAAATAACACCAACAGAGACTGAATAGAAGATTTAATTATTACAACTGCATAGGACATTGTTTTTGAGAAGTTCTCTTCCTTTATATAGGCTTCCAACACCAAATAACCTAACTGCTGGAAAACAAGGGAAAATTAAATCTCCAAATAAGGCATTTTAATATACTGTACTGCTTCTTAAACCAGCATTGCTGACCAGCATTATATTTATTTTTCTTTTATTATTCAGCTGCAGTAGCACTGCTTATGTTACATATGTTTATTAGCAAGTACTTTTAAACTGAAAATGTCTGAACATAATATAATTTCATGGAAGAATATGTTGACCATCTTTTTAACGTGCATGAATTCAACCCAACCCATGCAGACAACTACTGCAATGGAGAACGTGAAGAAACATGGTCTTTTTGTGCATTATGCATGGCAATGTGGAAATTCCATCTAGAAAATTACAACTCCAGTTCATTTAGTTGATCACCACCTCAGTCTTCAAAAGATAACATCATGAGATATGGGAAGTCCTCATTTTTAGGAAGCCACTGGAATATAGGTGGGAAATATGGACTTTACAAGTATATATGATATATACTTGCAATGTGACATGGTTCTATAGATCATTTTATAATAATAAATATTTTAATTTATCATAATTTATAAAAGAAACCTTTGTTGTTTGTCTGTTGAAAGAAAATGAAGGAGCAGGAAAGAAACATTACTGCAAGATGCTTAATTTCAGCAAATGGATTTGGCATGTCTCTTCCCATCAATTCAGGGGAAGATGTGCTATTGTTATGGGATTTATTTTTTAAAAAAAAAGACTGAACACACTATTTTCATATTTTTTGTTTATTTGCACAACTCTTGAACCAGATTACTGGTTAAAATCCAACAGTTACACAATTTTTAAAGTAAAAAGATTTTATAAGGAAAACAAATATAATAGCCAGTGCTAGGAAATGGAGAAAAAGGTTTGTATTTGGTTGTGGGCTTTTTTGGTTTTTGGTTTTTTAAGGAAAACCCTGCCTAAGATGTTAATCTTGTAAAAAGTGTGTATTTGGAATTTTCTCTGTTTTAATATAGAATATTATAAAGTCAAAATAAAATTAATTGTTTTCAGATTTGGACTTTAAGATATAGCTGTAGAAGTGGCTTTGATTCTTTTAGATGTCTCATAAAATGAGACTTTTTATATGTTAATGTATAATAAAACTGAAACAAGATTATTTTCCATTTGAAATTTTTGTATAGTTTAAAAATGCTTCCATATTCTTTGTTGGTATTGTGCCACTGCAGTACTTTAGTGCAGAGTTTATATTTAGCTAAACTGTTATGTTAATTAAGAAATGCATAAATCTTTTATTCTTAATATTTGTAATTCTAAATAAATTGATCTATGAAAATTAACATGACCTACATTTTCATTTAATTAATACAAGTTGATAAGTATTCCTTCTATTTAAAAAGTTTTTTAAAATTATCATTTCCACTAAATTATATTTTTAGGAAAAACGGTACAGATTAATTACCAAGTCATTTTGAATTAAAATATCATTAGGGTTTTTTTTTCCCATCACTGAGTAATCACTGTGGAAAACACTAAGCAAGCAAGTTACTTGGCTTACTATAGACCTAGAGAAGGGTTTATTTTTTTTTTTTTTGCGGTACACGGGCCTCTCACCGTTGTGGCCTCTCCCGTTACGGAGCACAGGCTCTGGACACACAGGCTTAGCGGCCATGGCTCACGGGCCCAGCCACTCCGCGGCACGTGGGATCTTCCCGGACCAGGGCACGAACCCGTGTCCCCTGCATCGGCAGGCGGACTCTCAACCACCGCGCCACCAGGGAAGCCCAAGGGTTTATTTTTTAATATATTCTGCCTAGACTTAGGTAAGCATTTTTTACATTTTTTCTTTTACATTTCTTAAGGCTAACTTGTCACACTTAATTTATACCTCGTCATTGTAAAGCAATTATACTCCAATAAAGATGTTAAAAAATAATAAAATAAAATAAATTATACCTTGTTTTGCACATATTTAATGAAGCATTGTCCGTATCTTTCAGTGCCATCATGTGTTGATGGCAAGAACTGTGCCTAAGAATATATTTGAATTTTAATTTTGTGTAAGGAAGAAGAAATCTATATAATTCAAAGTAGTCATTTGGGGTCAGCTGTACATTCATTTAAATGATGCTGCCACTGCTTAACACATTTGTGGAGCTCTAAAGAAAACTATCAAAGCCAGATTGAGTGAGCAAGCAAGCATATCAGGTGTTAACGTAGATTTGGTTCGGAATTACTGTTAGTTCCAAAAATCAGATTCACTTGCTACCGTTGAGAATCTACAAAACAACTTGCCAATTAAAATTTTTTTTCCTTTGAATTCATGCACTTCTCTCCATCTACACTATTACCAGTACTCTTAGCCCAGCTGCCATCATCACTAGCCTGGAACACAGCAGTCGTTTCCTAACTTATCTCCCAGTATCCACTCAGCTCTCCTCAGATGCAGCCAGAGCAATACTCTTAGAACACAGGACTGGTCATGTTATCCCCATCTGAAGTCTTACGGCTCTCGGGACAATTTCAGAACTCTCTTACAAGACCTACACAGCCAGGCATGATCTAGCCTCCCCTACAATTTCTCCATCCTGCTCCTTACTCCACAGGGCCTTTGCACACTCAGTGACCTCTGTGTTCCCTCTTCTTTTACCTTGGTAACTCCTGATCATCCTACAGATCTTACCTTCAGCATCACTTTCTCAGGGAAGCTTTCTTTGACCACAACACATCATCTCCAGGTCTTCGTGTACCCCTCCTTCCAGCACTTTGTCACATTTGCAATTTTATATTTCTTCTTTTGTCTCCATACTAGCCTCTTTGGTCCATGAGGGGAGGGACCGTTGCTGGTTTTGCTTACCATTTTATTTCTAGGCCCCGATAAAGTACCTTTATAGGCACCAAATATTTGTGGAACAAATGAACAAATAAGAGTCTCAAAAGAGCTCTAAGCAACATTAGTGTCACTGGAGTAAAAGTATCGTCCTCCATGATGATTGCTTTGAAAGATGAGACAGTACTCACTTGGGTGTATAAATTCTGCTTAAGGAGTTGCCTTTAAACCTGTCACGTTATCATTAGTCCTAACTAAAAAGGCCAGGCCAATATAGCAGGCATTATATGGTGGTGAATAAAATGGTGGACTGAGTTAGTCCTAGATTTGTGTCCAGGCTGTCATTTATTAGCTATGTGATTTGTCAGCCACTACTTAAAATTCGTAATCTTTAAAACAATAATAGTCCCTACCTTATATGGCAGTTGTGAGGAATAAACATATAGTGCCTATAATAGATACATTTAGCAGTTAGGGTCTCCTAAGAGCTTGAGAGGGGTACAGATCACTGTTCTTAGAGGATCCCACATTAAAAATTGTGGTAATATTTAAATATTTGTAGATTTTCTAAACTCTTCACTGGGGAAAGCAGAACATAACACAATGTAAATGCAATGATAAAGTTAATAAGTTGATTACCAAGTTTCCTTTAAATGTGACCCTTAGTGGACTGCAAGTTTATTTATTTTTTAAAGTCATTTGCTTATTTTTACTTGAGAACATCCAGGAAAAGTAAGAACGGAAAGAAAATAAAGACCGAATGTTTTAAGTTTTTCATGTAAAATGTGTTGAAATTGTCTTTCTAGCTTTTTAAAATTTATATTTAGTATTTATAATTAAAGTGATTTAAAATTCAGGAATGTTTATGCCAGTGATTTAAGTAATCATTTATGATGAACTAAAAATATCCTGACACACGAATGTTTACGTGAAATACAGTAGTGTAAATGGTTTTTTATAATGGTTTCTTTCCCTCACAACAAAAAAAACACAAAAATCTTCAAATTGCCTATAGATAAAAAAGAAGTGGTTTGTACTTCACTGCAAGTGTTTCTATTACTTTTTTTTTTTTCTATTACTTTTTAAAATAAAGCAATTAGTTGCTGATGTAACTGAAAAGTTAATCTGGTGCTGGGAGAGTTTGACAGACAGACAAATGAGACTTGCCCCCCACCTCACACCATATTCAAAAGTCAAGTCCAGGTGGACTGAAAGCCTAAACGGGAAAGGCCACTGTAGGACGACAACCCAGGAAAATACCTTTATAATCCAGGAGCAGGAAAGATGTCTTCAACTGGATGCACAACATGCTAACAATAAAGGAAAAGTCTGATACACAGTTGACCCTTGAACATGGTGTGGGGAGGGCATTTAGGAGCCAACCCTCCCTGCCGTGGGAAATCCCTGTGTAACTTCACAGTCATCCCTCCTATATGTAGTTCCTCCTTGTCTATGGTTCCACATCTTCAGATTCAACCATCCAGAGATGGTGCAGTACTGTAGTAGTTTCTGGTACAAGTGGGGAAACAGACATGGACAGGAGGCGATGCGCACCCACTTGGCTGCAGACCCAAGCTTTGGGGAGGACACGGCCCCTGCCCTGCGCTTCCCCCAGCGGGTGTCTCTCCCCGGCAGGGGACTGGACTGTAAGTTAATTATTGTATGTCTCTCAGTTGTGAATGTATTTATGTCATCTCATTTGGCCTTGTCACAAGTCTAAATGCAAAGGAAGCGCTCTGTGATCGTGAGACTTCCTGCCCACCCTGGGGGCAGGCCCTGAGCACGATGTTTGGCACATAACAAGCACTGAAAATGGTAAGAGCTAATGTTTATCATTTCATTTTTGGTTTCAGACAGCTTCTAAGGGTTCAGAAGGCAAGTCTGCTACTAAAGCCTGAACTATGTCCTGGTTGCTTTTTTCTTTTTTCTTGCGGTACGCGGGCCTCTCACTGTTGTGGCCTCTCCTGTTGCGGAGCACAGGCTCCAGACGCACAGGCTCAGCGGCCATGGCTCATGGGCCCAGCCGCTCTGCGGCATGTGGGATCTTCCCGGACCAGGGCATGAACCCGTGTCCCCTGCATCGGCAGGCGGACTGTCAACCACTGCGCCACCAGGGAAGCCCATGTCCTGGTTGCTTTTAATAGTGGATTTGCTACTCTGAAAAGTGCAAGCCATTTAACACCTCTATGAAAATCAGGGTAACTGGCATGTATGATCTCTGAGACATTCAGCATAGCTCTGACTCTTCTAGGAATCATCAAGACCTGAGTCCTGGGGAATTCCCTGGCGGTCCAGTGGTTAGGACTCTGCACTTTCACTGCCAAGGGCCCGGGTTCAGTCCCTGGTCGGGGAACTAAGATCCTGCAAGTGGCGTGGCATAGCCAAAAGGAAAAAAAAATTCCATTACAAAAAAAAAAAAAAAGACAAACCTGAGCCCTGGCGCCAGCCATGGCTTCTCATGAGCTGCCTCCAAAGCACAGTTTACAGAGAAACGAGAAACCTCACCTATGATTACCTCACATACAAACAGTTTCCTTTTGTCCTTAGGAGTTTGAAAACCCTCAAATCCTCGAAGCAATAATTTATCTTGGGCTAACTTAGTAATTTACATACATTATCATATAAATTGGGAAAGAGATATCTCCTGAAACCAGAAGACTCATGTTAGTAAACTTTGAACAAGCTGGATAGACTTTTAACCAAGTTAAATTTCTCAGCACAATGGCCTGCTGATACCATGATTACTGGCTTTATAAACTACATTTGCAGAAACTTTTCTTTTAGAAATGTTTCTCATGACCACAAAATACATACTGAGCAGTTATGGAGTGAAGCGCTGTACTAAGTGCTGTCTAAAGGACAGAACTCATTTAAATAGAATTACAATGAAACATTTGTGGAAAACATTTAATAATAATAGACTGAAGTTGCACAGAAGTACAATAACAAGTGCTAAGGGTAATGCTGCAGTGATTGAAGTAACAGGTACAAAATGAGGATTAGAAAAAGTTACAGCCTTCAGAAAGAGGTCTAGAGTGTTTTGAAAGAGACAGGTTATTTGGTTCTAAAACTGAAAGGAGTGGCTTTGAGACAGAGGCATATATATATTGTGGATGGGTGACCCTAAGAAGATGCGCATAATGGTCCTGTAGGCTATCAATGTCAGTTATCTGAAAGGGTAACCAAAACGTTTTTATAATTTGGTAGCAATTGGAGGCTACTACAAATTTCTAGAGAGTAGTTTTTTAAAAGCTGGGAAACTTGAGGCAGGGGGCTCTTGAATAATCTGGATGCAGAATCACTGGAGCTACGAATGAGCATAAAGATGTCAGGCCAAATTTAAAACGTAGTAAATCTTGATAGGATGAGGATTGAAGGAGCTGGGTTAACATGAGTCTAAGGGTATAAGCCTTGGAGGAGCCATATGAAGACAGCAGCTGTTAAGCACAAGGGGAAACTGAGTCGAACCAAGGAGTTCTTGTGAAGATAGTGAGTTCTGAAAAACTAGTTCA